TCAGAAAGTATCCAGTGACTGAGAATGTGAATAGAAGTGTAACTTGTGTATCAATGCGTATCTGAATTGTTATGTAAATGTTCTACAAAAGAATGCCTGTTTGGTTTTATTTTACTCACCCGCTCAAACATTATCCTGTAAAAAGTCCGAGAAACAAGAAATCAAACTATCGTAGCCTATTCTTGAGATACTTTTGCTAAAACGACGTAAAAATATCAGTGAAAAGAAGAACAAGTAAACAACCTCCGTGTTAATATTCAAACAGCCAACTTCAAACAGCAGCTTCAGACAATCAACACAGCTCTTGTAAACACCTGTCAAGCTTTTGCTAACGCGGGCCTGTGCCTACATTACCGTACATGTTAACTAGAACTATTCAGCTGTAACAAAACAGTTAGTACAAGTTGCGTAAGACCAGGCTGTAAGGTTTGATCCACTTTCCCTGGGACGGACCTCTACTCTTTTCTTACTAGATTGGTGGGTTCTTTAACGTACTCGTGTCCCCTCCGAATGAGTGTAAGGTTTCGTCCTTCAAGATCTAAAATATTACTTAGACAGAAATGGGCTCTTTAAGTATAAAAATGGAATTTTGCTTAGGTTTTCGATGTTCTGTAAATAAGTGAAAATGTACAGAAGATTGATTACTAAAGACACAGATTTTTGCCTAATACATAAGTAACATTCTCTGTAGTTACCGCTGGATCTCCCTTTTCACTTGCCTCTCCAAAGTAACGCGCGGCAGTTGGTCCATGTCTCGACAGATGGCGCTTTAAAAAGTGTTCCTTCGTGCACGCGTGTCACACGCCTAAGTGACGTCACAATGAACACGCCCATATAAGTCAGACTAATCAGGCGTTGTTTGTCACACTCCGTTGCGCAACAGCCACACAGAGCTCGACTCTGAGAGGCACAACTGCAACAAATCGACTGAGGGCCGCTCTTCAGGCCTTAGTCCAGATATATAGAGATTGTCAACTGAAGATATTTTGACCAGCTTGGAAGGTAAGTTGTGATAAAAGTTAAGGTGTTTTCTTAAGTCAAATCACCCCTTGGTCATTACAGGACGTTGAAGGTTCGACATCCAGGTAAAACATTATGTAATACAAAATAAAGCAAATAAATAAAGAAAACAAGCAGATTTTGAATTTCATAAAAATTTGGAGGCTTCAGAAAGTATCTAGTGACTGAGAATGTGAATAGAAGTGTAACTTGTGTATTCATGCGTATCTGAATTGTCATGTAAATGTTCTACAAAAGAATGCCTGTTTGGTTTTATTTTGCTCACCCGCGCAAACATTATCCTGTAAAAAGTCCGAGAAACAAGAAATCAAACTATCGTAGCCTATTCTTGAGATAGTTTTGCTAAAAGGGCGTAAAAATATCAGTGAAAAGAAGAACAAGTAAACAACCTCCGTGTTAATATTCAAACAGCCAACTTCAAACAGCAGCTTCAGACAATCAACACAGCTCTTGTAAACACCTGTCAAGCTTTTGCTAACGCGGGCCTGTGCCTACATTACCGTACATGTTAACTAGAACTATTCAGCTGTAACAAAGCAGTTAGTACAAGTTGCGTAAGACCAGGCTGTAAGGTTTGATTCTCTTTCCCTGGGACGGACCTCTACTATTTTCTTTATTAGTGTGCTGGGTTCTTTAACGTACTCATGTCCCCTCCGAATGAGTGTAAGGTTTCGTCCTTCTGGATCTAAAATCTTTCTTTGGACAGAAAGGAGCTCTTTAAGTATCAAGATGGAATATTGACTTTTTCACTGTTCTGTCAATAAGTGTACAGAAGTTGAACAGAATATTGAAAGCTAAAGGAAAGAACTCTATCCTTAGTATGATTCTCCGTAGCTACCGCTGGCTTTACGCTTTCTTTTCCAAAGTGATGCGCGGCAGTTGGTCCATTTCTCGAAAGGTGGCGCTTTGAAAAGTGTCCTTTCGAGCACGCGGGACACACGCGTACGTGACGTCACAATGACGCCCATATAAGTCAGACTAATTAGGCGTTGTTTGTCACACCCCGTTGCGCAACAGGCACACTGAGCTCGGCTGCGAGAGGCACAACTGCAACAAAACGACTGAGGACCGCTCTTCAGGCCTTCTTAGTCCAGAAAGAGAGTGCGTGTCAACTGAAGATATCCTGACCAGCTTGGAAGGTAAGTTGTGATTAAGGTAAGTCAAATCTTGTTTCATTACAAGTCACTGAATGTTCCACATCCAGGTAGAATATTGTGTACTACAAAATAAATCAAATAAAGAAAGTAACTGAATGCTAAATTCTATGAATATTCAGACGTTTCAGGTAGCATGCAGTGGCTGAGAATGAGAAGATAACTAACCTGTGTATAAATTAGTATCTGAATTGATATGCAAATGCTGAAAATCACGTAGCTACACATCTTGTGTACATTTTGCACAAGTTGGGTGGTAAAATTAGTTGTTTCAAACAACACCGCGCCTAGCTAGTGTGGTGACGTTTTGGCTCCTGTGGCGGAATTTGGCTGGTCTATCACAGAATGCCTGCTTTTCTTTTAGGTCTACTTTTCTCCTGCGCTCCGATATCTTCCTGCAAAAAATTATAATAAAATCATTGTGGTCTAAAATTCACATCCTTATGTCTAAAATTCCAAACGGCGTCATGAAAATGTCAGTGGAAAGAAAAAAACAAGTAAACAACCTCCGTGTTGATATTCATACAGCCAACTTCAAACGTCAGCTCCAGACAATCTACACAGCGCCTGTAAACAACTCCCACGCTTTTGTTAACACAGACCCAGGTCTTTAGCCAGCTCAAAATTTTTCACCGTCAACCCCAAGTCAACCCAATTCGCGTTGACGGTAAGATTGAAAAAAAAAAATTTTACCGTCAACATGAAAAAAATTCCGTCAATAATTACTTAACTTTCGCGATCCAGTGATCGGCATCACGCCCTCCCGCACACTTCATTCACACGCACGCGACAATTACAAACAACAATGACAGACCTCTGGTTACAGACTTTAACTCTACTTAACGCGTTCCAAAAATTCTAGCTTTTTAAAAGTTGTTATCTCTCACTGCAACTCCGCAAGTTTTCACCATTGGTCAAAGAATTTACTGCGAATTTACTGCCGATGGAGCGACGCTGTTGGGCTATTGGTCTTAAC